CAATCATTTATATTGCATTCGATATATTATCCTAAATATTATATCTGAATGTATTCTTTAACCGGGTCGGCGCGTACGCCATCCCGACACCCAAAAATTCCACGCACGAGTTATTCACATTAGGAATAATCGCAGGGTTCTACTCAACCGAATGTGCAATGGTCAAGCTTTGCCCCGAGGGAACCGCCTTCGTGATCACGGTAACCCCTACGCCAGGTAAGTATGCTTTTATATTGAAATTGGAATATACTTAATGAATTCAATATTTCAATTTAATGAAAATTATAAACATTTCAATGGTAAAAATTTTTTTCCTCTCACACAATCACAATTCAATATTTTAACTTAATGAAAATTGTAAATATTTTAATTGTAAACATTTTTTTTTTTCGTTAACACAACCGTGATGGTAATTGTGACTAAAATCTAAATAATTATTTGTCACATATTATATAAATTAATTTTTATTAGTATTTAACTCTGCTGTTTGATTAGAAATAAATTCTGAAGGCTAGTTGAGTGGACCATTTGATTCATATTACAATTTTTATATAAAATAATAATTTAATATTATTTCTTATATCGACATAAATATTTTGGTTCAATACTTTTTAAATATTATTTATTTATTAATTATTAAATAAAGAAGTTAATATAAAAATTATTTAAACAATTTAAAAGTTTTTTGCATTATTCTTTTCTCACTCAATACAGCTAATGTCAATGTAAAAAAGCAATTCTAATAAATGATTGCAATCATTTATATTGCATTCGATATACATATTATCCTAAATATTATATCTGAATGTATTCTTTAACCGGGTCGGCGCGTACGCCATCCCGACACCCAAAAATTCCACGCACGAGTTATTCACATTAGGAATAATCGCAGGGTTCTACTCAACCGAATGTGCAATGGTCAAGCTTTGCCCCGAGGGAACCGCCTTCGTGATCACGGTAACCCCTACGCCAGGTAAGTATGCTTTTATATTGAAATTGGCATATACTTAATGAATTCATAATTTCAATTAAATGAAAATTAAAAAATTTTTTTCCTCTCACACAATCACAATTCAATATTTTAACTTAATCAAAATTGTAAATATTTTAATTGTAAACATTTTTTTTTTCGTTAACACAACCGTGATGGTAATTGTGACTAAAATCTAAATAATTATTTGTCACATATTATATAAACTAATTTTTATTAGTATTTAACTCTGCTGTTTGATTAGAAATAAATTCTGAAGGCTAGTTGACCATTTGTGGACCATTTGATTCATATTACAATTTTTATATAAAATAATAATTTAATATTATTTTTTATATCGATATAAATACTTTTGGTTCAATACTTTTTAAATATTATTTATTTATTAATTATTAAATAAAGAATTTAATATAAAAATTAGTTAAACAATTTAAAAGTTTTTTGCATTATTCTTTTCTCACTCAATACAGCTAATGTCAATGTAAAAAAGCAATTCTAATAAATGATTGCAATCATTTATATTGCATTCGATATATTATCCTAAATATTATATCTGAATGTATTCTTTAACCGGGTCGGCGCGTACGCCATCCCGACACCCAAAAATTCCACGCACGAGTTATTCACATTAGGAATAATCGCAGGGTTCTACTCAACCGAATGTGCAATGGTCAAGCTTTGCCCCGAGGGAACCGCCTTCGTGATCACGGTAACCCCTACGCCAGGTAAGTATGCTTTTATATTGAAATTGGCATATACTTAATGAATTCATAATTTCAATTAAATGAAAATTATAAACATTTCAATGGTAAAAATTTTTTTCCTCTCACACAATCACAATTCAATATTTTAACTTAATCAAAATTGTAAATATTTTAATTGTAAACATTTTTTTTTTCGTTAACACAACCGTGATGGTAATTGTGACTAAAATCTAAATAATTATTTGTCACATATTATATAAACTAATTTTTATTAGTATTTAACTCTGCTGTTTGATTAGAAATAAATTCTGAAGGCTAGTTGACCATTTGTGGACCATTTGATTCATATTACAATTTTTATATAAAATAATAATTTAATATTATTTTTTATATTGACATAAATATTTTGGTTCAATACTTTTTAAATATTATTTATTTATTAATTATTAAATAAAGTTAATAAAGTTAATATAAAAATTAGTTAAACAATTTAAAAGTTTTTTGCATTATTCTTTTCTCACTCAATACAGCTAATGTCAATGTAAAAAAGCAATTCTAATAAATGATTGCAATCATTTATATTGCATTCGATATACATATTATCCTAAATATTATATCTGAATGTATTCTTTAACCGGGTCGGCGCGTACGCCATCCCGACACCCAAAAATTCCACGCACGAGTTATTCACATTAGGAATAATCGCAGGGTTCTACTCAACCGAATGTGCAATGGTCAAGCTTTGCCCCGAGGGAACCGCCTTCGTGATCACGGTAACCCCTACGCCAGGTAAGTATGCTTTTATATTGAAATTGGGATATACTTAATGAATTCAATATTTCAATTAAATGAAAATTATAAACATTTCAATGGTAAAAATTTTTTTCCTCTCACACAATCACAATTCAATATTTTAACTTAATGAAAATTGTAAATATTTTAATTGTAAACATTTTTTTTTTTTTCGTTAACACAACCGTGATGGTAATTGTGACTAAAATCTAAATAATTATTTGTCACATATTATATAAATTAATTTTTATTAGTATTTAACTCTGCTGTTTGATTAGAAATAAATTCTGAAGGCTAGTTGAGTGGACCATTTGATTCATATTACAATTTTTATATAAAATAATAAAAACTCAAGTACGGCTTTGGATCAATTGGTTAAGGTGCGCTGATTCTGAGCTTCATATTTGGCAGGACCCGAGTTCGATTCCTGGTACTTGCAGTCTCAAAAATAATTATTTACGAATAATTAAATATAAGAATTATTTCCAAGACCACTGATGAAGGGTATTTGGCAATACTCGAAACAGCTGTTTGGTCAGCCAAAAATTCAATTAATTAAAATAATTTAAAAAAATAAATTTTTGTTGTTGTTTCACTTCTGTTCGAAAACCTCTCTATAAAATAATAATTTAATCTTATTTTTTATATCGACATAAATATTTTGGTTAAATACTTTTTAAATATTATTTATTTATTTATTATTACAATTTTTGTATTGCTTTTAAATACAACCATACCTTTCTAATTCTAGAAATGCAAAGCCTGAAAATAACTATGAAAAACGCGTTATTTTAAAATTGACAAAAGATCTCAAAAAGGGGGAAAATATAAAATATATACAAATGGCAAATATTATCGAACGAATTAATAAAAACTAGTTATTTCAAAATAATTGTAAAGATAATAGAGATGGTATACTTTGGACCAAAGGTTGCTATGGTCTCTTAACCTTTGATTTGTACCTTTTTATTTTTTTAAGTTCTGTTTTAAATCAAAAAATTTAATTTTTACACACAACATTATTTTATAAAAAGACCACGTGAGCTGAAAAATTAAATTAGTACTTTTATTTTATACATCAGATGTAGAATAACACTTTGAATAATAATTATCTTAAATATGAAGAAGTAATGAGTTTCATATAATTATAATTAGAAGCTGATTATAATAAAAATTTATGAAATATAAATCATAAATATTTTGTTTCATTTTCCAGTTATGGTACGGGTTTGGTTCTAAAAGTTTATTAATGTAAATAATTTGATTTACAATATTTATTTACTAGTTACTTCTCGAAGGAAGTGAGAAATTCAAAGGTCAGCACCAGTAACAATACACAGTCAAGCATCTGAACTTCTCTGCTCAGACGCCAAAAATAAGTAATCTAGTGCTTAGTTCAGATAATGTTTTGAGTTATTTTGTAGCATTTATTTGGAATAAAAGAACATTTAATATTTTTTTGCTTTCCGTTACAGTAGGAAAAACAGAAATAATTTCCAACACTGAAGCTTAATTCCTAAACCAACAAAATAAATTTTACAAAGCGGATTTTCGTAGCTTAAAAACAGACAAAAAGTTTGTCAACTCGGAAATCAACATAGACTAAGAAAATTACAAAAACTTCCTTAACGCGTTTGTTGGTGTTAATTTGTTTTTGTTCAGTTTAAATATTAATTTTTCCATTTTCTGTTTGCAAAAGTTCTGTTCTATTCTGTTCTGTTCTGTTCTGATCCTGATTATTTATTATTTGCATTTTAATCGCTTTATAATTAAAATATCCTTGTGCGGAAGATTACCAAACGACGGACTTAAATCTTAGGCTGCATATTTCAAACTGAAAGAACTTAATTTTCTTTTCTAATTATTATGTTTATATATCACAAAAAAGTTACGCCTTTAAATTGACGAGATTAGGTTTTAGATGATAATTTTTAAATTAATTCAATTTAAAAATCAATGAAATTATTTCAATAAAAATATTAATTTTATATTTATATGTTTTAATTAATGTTTTAAATCAGAACTGTCAAGACCAGATAAGATCGCAGGCCTATACAAATCACTGAATAGGTAGGCGGGCCGCAGAAATAAATACATACGTTAATTTATTGCCATTTGAAAAATATTTTATTTTTAATATAATGACTTACGGCACTGGATACAAGGTTTTTGACCCAGTTATACAAAGAAATATATACTAAAATGTTTACCAACTAAATAAAAAAACGTGAAGTATACTAAATTATTTAAAAAAATTTAATTAATTTATTTGGGATACAACAAAACTAAAATAATATGATGTTACTAAAATATAACAAAGAAAAATTTGCATAATTGTGGTAAATTAGAAACATGTCGCGGGCCGCACAAATATTAGTCGCTGGACGTATGAGTCCTGTGGGCCGTGCTTTGGTCCGCCCTGTTTTAAATAATTTAAAAATCCATGAAATTTATTTAATAAAATTCTTAATTCCTCTTAACATATGCATATATTATTTGCGAATATACAATGCAATATAAACAATGTAAATATATGTTGCAATAAAATTTTATAAAATTTTATTTACAACAAATTTTTTTATATTGCCTTAGTTCTTAAAATATTCTATAAATTTATATATATTTATTTGTAGATAAAATGTAAAACAAATAGTAAAATAATTAGTTACCTTTTTTTTACGCCTAAAGCTGTATTGAAAACATTACAAAAACGTATACAATTAACAATTGTAGATGCAATTTTCACCTTCACTTAAAAAATATAATGAAAATCCCAGCTGAAAATATGTGCATAATATCGTCCTATTTTCCAAAAATCATAAGAAAAATTTCGTCATGAGTGTAACAATTACTTACGATTATAATTAAAAGTATAACAAAGTCAGATCCTTTTCAGAAGAATTACATGTTTGGTTTCGTTTAAGTGCTAATAATCAGAACTTAACAATTATTGATCAAATTTTATATCACCATCAAATCAGTTGTCATATATCTAATTAACAATATATATTTTATTGTAACCCAAATTATCAATTTTACTTATATATGGAGGCAATAAAGCAATCTGCTAATGATGAAAGTGTATAATCCATATCTGACGCATCAAAGAACTGCAGTAAACACTCAATACTCGAATCCTACTTGAATCATTTACTGTATTTTATTTATAAGCATTCTAATTCCATTTTTCAAATATACGACTCCACCCGATTCGACACAAACATGATGCAAATGATTTATGAATCATCCATGAGTATTACGTCACAGTCCGCAAAAATTTTTCTTCTATTGTTAACTGTGCATACAATTTCCTATTAAAACAGTTCCTAATTTAATGCATACATAATATTTTAGAACACAAACAAAATACATGCATTTACAATGTTAACAACAAACACCAAAAGCATCGATTAAAAAAGACACAGTGATTTAAACTTCTACCTGACGCAAGTTCTGACACGGTGACACGGTCACGGTGGTTTCAAGGCCTAGCTTTACAGGTTTCACATACTACAGGATCCCTGGTATCCTGCTTGCCCAGAGTTAGATAAAAATGCATAACATCTGCTGTTCGTTTTTCCAAGACTCGATTGCAGATTTAAATATTTTCTCTCTGATGCGTGAATTGAGAGCTGCGAAACAACTACGACGACGGGAAGATATGCTTCCACAAGCATCCACGGACGAATTCTGACGTGACGACTAGACTAATGATTTAAGATTTCAGACGTATTACCTAACGGCAGTTCCTGAAGGAGCTTTCCTTCCGGACTAGGGGAGTTTTTTGTGCAATTGAAATACCCCACTGAATAGGCTTTCAAGGTTTTCTCGCATTCAAAAAAAATAGCACCAAAACCATAAAACTCAGCATACACAAATTTTTTGCTTAGCCAACACTAGCGCTCACACAAAATTTTTACGAATGCCTGATCGAGTCATTCATTTTTGATGAGTTTATTCATTCATTCATACCACTCAAGTATATGCTATGATTCGTGAATCATTTGCCATTTATGCTTATGTAATGAATGTGAATGCGTACAAATAGTGTCTGAGAAAAACATTTATACTTATTTATATTTGGTTTTTTTTTTAATGTACTCTGAGTGTTAAAAATATGACTCGTTATAATTCTCTGTGATGCACAACAGATTAGAATTTTCTACAATTTTAGTTTGAATGAAGAACGAATCATTTTCACTTAATAGGTAGCCATTAATTAATGGCTAATTTTTTAATTACAAAATTTTTCAACCGAAACATTTTTAAATTATCGCATAATGCCCTAATTAGCCAACACTACACAATTTCGTAACAAGCCTATGACAAAAATAACATATAATATCGGTGTCTATAAAGATCCCAAATGTCTTCAAATTCATTGCGGATCACTTACTGAGTTAAATACGGCGCAGTAAAGATACATACCTATGTGGTTCTTACTTAAAGAACTGAAACGCGACCATTATCAGTGACAGTACAATATTTCGTAATAAGTCTTTGGCAAGAACATCATATATAATCGATATTAGATAATAATTAAAAAGTTTACACCTCATCTTCCCTAAGGATACTGTTTAAGGTCATCTTATGTATCATATAACATTATTTCAGTTCTAGACCTCAAATGAAACTGAGAAGATAATTATATTCCGCATAACTAGGTTGAGACAATGTTACTGAAAAATCTGAAAATGATATCATGTTATGCATTACTGTTATTATATATCGCATATACTAGTCCCAATAAGATTTCGACTACCCAACAAATTTCCAGTCGGGACATTGTTAAAGTGCATATTTACAACAATGCAACATTGGTTTCAGGTTATTGGTTTGTACTCAATACTATGTAAAATTGTGTTCACGAAATAAATTTACAAATAAAAGTGAAAAAATATTGCAATAAAAAATACCGCAACAAATGTAATTATTTTAAAAATTTAAAATAATTAAAAACACACCAGAGATTTAAAAATTTATTGAAAATAGTTAAAATGACATC